TTTCCTTCCCTCCTGCCCCCCTCCCTCACCCCTGATGAAGAAATAGTGTTCTTTTAAAATATGAGAACTGAACTCTGGGGCAGAGAGCAGTCTGAGATTGACTACTGAGATGATCCATTCTGATTCAGAATGCAGCTGTGTGCACAGTGTTGTGTGATCCAAAGTTTGCCCATTTTACACCTCTATAGCCCAAGCTGCACTAGTTTCCTTCTGAGTGCAATTCAAAGTGCTGATTATCACCATTAAAACTGTACATGTCATGGGACCTGTTTATTTGCTGAAATGCCTCTCCCTGAGAATGTCTGCCTGTCCTGCCATATCCGATAGGTTAGTCACATACTTGACATTTTTTCCCTGAAATCCTATCACCGTCCTAGTGGGACCTCAAAAGTGTGCCTTTTCCATGGCTGCCCCTACTTTATGGAATACCCCACTCTTTTAGCTTCAGAAAAGGTCATCAAGACCTTTTTTTTAAATCCAGAGAATAGAATAGACAGAATTAAATTAGGTAGCTGCAAAGTATTCAAAGTGTAAGGTGCAGGGGGTTTGCTTTTGACAATTTTATTGCTTCATTACTATGTTTTATAGTTATTGCATTTTATTGCTGTTGTGAACTGCCCAGAGTTGCTTAAGATAGGTGGCAATACAAATCTTCTAAATAAATCAATAAAATCCCTTTCTAAATGGAAGCTTGATCTGCCATAGTGAGTCCACTGCTTAACTATAAACCAATGTAAGTTCTCCATAGCATTTTTTCCTGGAAAACGTCTCCCATAATTTCACACTGTGATTTCTCAGTATGAATGTTGAACACCTGAACAAAGCTACTTGTCTGTTAAAGAAACAAGAGTGGCAGGAAAGCAGCAGAGTATCTTGGCCAAGGACCAGCAGATTGAGGTACATAGAAACCAACGGACTCAGATCAGGTTGGTGCAACTCAACTGCTACATCGAAATAATTACGGTACCTCCACAAGAGTTTCTGTTGTGAACTTTGGGCTGTTGAATCCCATTGCTTTGTTCACGTTGGCTACAAAGTAATACAAAATACCTTTGAGGTCACCTGGGTGAGCAGCGACAGACTGCCAAGATGTTTGCAGAGACTTCCTGGAACAACTACAACTCACACGCCTGAAGCTTGCTAGGGTTACAGGTGCCACCCTGCATTTCCCAAGTTTGGGAACAAAGTCAATCACTTTATAACAGGGGAAGTAATTCATGCAGAGGAATAGCTCATATAGACAGCAATTACAATCACCTTTTTAAATGCAAGATGCTTTTATCCTTTATCACTCGTTTTCTCAGTTATCCGGATCGTTTTTATTTGCTTGACAAAACCTCTATGCATTTTGCACAATAGGCAGACAGTCAGGAAGGATAATGATTCCAAGAACAGATAAGCAACGTTGGAAAGAAGCAAGACAGAACATACTGAATGTCTGCCTATTACAGGTAATCCTTGGCTTATTCAGTGACTATTCAAAGTTACAGAGGCTGTGAAAAAAGTGACTTATGGCCTGTTTTCACACTTAACGACTGTTGCGGCACCCCCATGGTGACATGATCAAAATTTGGGTCCTTGGCAACTGGCATATATTTATGACAGTTGCACTCTCCCAGGGTCACGTGATCATCATCTGTAACCTTTCCAGCCAGCTTCCGACAAGCAAAGTCAACGGGGGAAGCCAGCTTCACTTGGCAACTGCACAGTTCACTTAACAACTGTAGTGATTTGCTTAACAAGGGTAGCAAAAAGATCGTAAAATGGAAATTTTGGGCTCAATTGTGGTCATAAGTCAAGAACTATCCGTATCTTGTTATTACAGGTACAGAACTGTTTTTACGTGGAAAGATTATATTACCCCACGTACGAAATCTAACCTACCTCTGTAATGTATAAAATGTGTCTCTCTTCATCTCCGCTGCCTCCTGGTGGTCACAGTTCTAAATGCTCTCTCTGGAGTCACACGTCATGTTAGCCCAGAATGTGATTTGTTCAGTTTTGATGTAACATCTTATGTGAACTCTGCCACCAAGGGTTTTAACTTTTAAGCCATGTTTACAGCTTAGCGTGATGTGTGAACAACCTTCTCGCTATAGCCTCAGTAA